CTGTGGGGTCTGGATACATAGATGTGAAATCAGTTCAGCAAAAGCCGACCTTTAAAAAAAATATACAGTGGGCTGGAGTGATAGCACAGCAGGGAGGGTGTCTGCCTTGCACACAGCCAACCAGGGTTCTATCCCCAGCATCCCATATGGTCCCAGGAGTGATTCCTGCGTGCAGTGTCAGGAGTTACCCCTGTGCATTGCCAGGTGTGCCTCCTTCCCCAAAAAAAATAAAAATAAAAAATTTTAAAAATGCTATCATACCAAGCATCAGTGTTCATCTTGGGGGTCGGGTGGGGGCACAGGGGCTCCTCTGTGCCCCCAAGTCCAGGGGTGCTCATGCTGGGGGCCAGGGGAGGGCAAGGTAGGTCCGGGAGGTGAGCTGAACGGAAGGTCTCGGACATGATAGGCAGGTGCTCTTGTCCTTGAGCTATCCCACCCCAAGCAGTTTTCCTGTTTTGAGGTGTTTCTTATGGGGGGGAGGGGGATACCCAGTGATGCTCAGGGTTTCTCCTGACTCTGCATTCAGAAATCACTCTCGATGGGCCCGCAGATCATATGGGATACCAGGGACCAAGCCCAGGTCAGCAGCATACAATGCAAACACCCTATCCATTGTATCATCTCTCTGGTGCCAATATTCTTAAGAAAATGAAATGAGGGGTCAGAGAGATAACACAAAGGTTAAGGAACTTGCCTCGAATCCCACAGACCCCAGATTTGAATTCCCCACACCAATCTATGTGTTACACCTTCACAAGTGCCCTTCTTGCTGTACTATTACTCAATGTATTGGGGGTCAGTCCTGGGCAGAGTCAGGAGTAGCCAGAGTACTACCATGTATGGCCCGAAGCTATCCCCCGCCCAACAACAAAAAGAAATAGTTTGTATCAAAGCATGTACCAATTGCTTGTAAAACTTGTTTCAAAGTATATACAGAGTCATAAAATGGGATGGGGGGGGGGAAACTACACCACACATGACGCGGGACCTCCAGCAGTGCTCCAGGCTTAACTCCTGGCTCTTAAGCTCAGAGATCATTCCTGGTGATGTCTGGGTGCCTTATGTGGTGCCAGAAATTGAACCAGGGTTAGCCACAAGCAAAGCAAGCACCTCAATGCCTGTGTTCGCTCCGTTCCCTAAAATGCATTTCCTACTGAGGATCAAGGGCAAAAAAATTAGGACAATGAGCCTAAAAAATGCCTGTAAAGGGACTAGAGCGATAGCACAACGGGTAGGGCAGCTGCCTTGCACCCGGCCCGGCCCAGGTCCGAATCCCAGCATCCCATACGGTTCCCTGAGCACCGCCAGGAGTAACCCCTGAGCATCGCTGGGCGTGTCCCAAAAAGAAAAAAAACAAAAAAAGCCTGTAAAGGCTTAAATAAGATGAAGCCTACATAACTGATGCAATAGCTGTGTTTTTCAAAACTGTAACTGCCCCCTTTACAAATTTCAAGCACTAATTATTGCGGGTGTATGGGGGGGAGGGGCAGATACCCAAGAGTGCTCGGGGTTTACTTCTGGCTCTGTGCTCCAGGATCACTCCTGGTAGGGCTCAGGGGATCAAACTTGTGCTGGCCATGTGCGAGGCGAGTGCCCTTCCTGCTGCATTATTGCTCTGGCCCTAATCATCTTTCTGAAAAGAAAAATGGTATCTGGCTCATGTCTGAGAAATGATAAAAATCTTCACGAAACGTTCCTTTTCGCCAATAGAACAAAGGTGGCTCAATATTTAGAGATTAACTTTAAGGACTTGGTGGCCCACTTAGGCCCACTTACTGTAGAATAACATTGCCACAGGGAGCTCAGGTTTACCGGGTCACACCCATCACAGTGCTCAAGTCACTCCCATTCCTCTGTTTATCTGTAAACTCTTCTCTGTGCTCTCCTCCCCAGCCAGTTAATCACCTTTTCTCCCTAATCAGATTCTGTTCGCTTGTAAGATCAGATCTTTCTAAGGAAACTGAACTTGTACTGTAAGTTGTGTCCTTTGCATAGTTTACCTTAAAGCAACGTCCTTTCTGTGTGGACACAGGAAGACAGTTAATATTATGCTTTGTCACTTGGGAGTTGATTGACTCCGAATAATATTTACTCCTGGGCATCTGCTTTATTGACTCAGTTGCCCTTTAGTTCCTAGCACCCCAAAAGCAGGGTCCCAACGAGGGACTGAATGGACCCAGGGCAAGCTGTGAGCTACCCTGGCATCGAAATGGGCCAGGCGAAAGCGCCACGATACTCAACTATAAGTTGAGGGCATGATCATGGACAAATGCTGTCATGATCCAAAAGTAAGTAACCACGAGACTAGGACCCTGCTGGGCTAGGAAGACTAACCTGGCCCGAGGACTGCGGAATATATAGTGAGATGTCCTCAGGAAGAACCAAACTGTAGGTTTATCTCTTACTGTGCTCATGCAGAATGACATTGCTAGAAATATTAGAAGTAGATTTACTGCAACTATTTAAGTGGATTACTAGTTGAGGAAAGAACACACCCTCGTTGGGATCCCACCCTTGAGCAGATCTCCTAGTAATCTGGAATAAATCTCTTTAGATGGGATTTAATCCTTGAGTTAATCTCCTGGAGGAGTGGTCTTACCTCTCTTTGCTGATTTGTTAATGTTCAACCCACCTTTGTGTCACCACCCTACGTGATTGCTATATAAACTAAGACTGTAAGCTCGAAGGGGGCTTGGGCGAAGGGGCCTTGGGCTCGAGAGAGCAGAAACTGAGGCTCAGGCTGAGGCGGGGGCTCGGGCTCCAGAGGGCAGAATCAGAGGTCAGAGTGAAGACGGGAATAAACTACAATTGATACAAACACACAATTTACCAAGGGTCAAACACTTCTACTTAGATGCCAATTAGCAAAGTAAAAGATTTCGCTAAGACAATCTCACCAGTTACAAAGAAACTATAGCATGTATGTATCCTTTGCCATCAATGGTGTTTCCAGTCCCAGCAAGAGTGATTCCTGAGCCCGGAGGAGTCGGCCCTAAACACCACCAGGTGTGGTCCAAATTGAAAATCAATGGGGTTGACTCAATTAAGAGATGTTTTCCACCAACTCACCTTTATCCGGCAATGTCAGGAGACAACCTGTCAAAAATGAGGGTGTGTAGAGAGGCTGGATAAGTTTAGTTTACCCCAAGTTGCCCAAAACCTACTCCTGGCTCTGTGCTCGGGGGCCAGTGCAGGATGGGGGAACAAGACCAAGGATGAGCACAGGTCTCCCGCTTGAAAAGCACGAGCAAGTCCAAATGCATGATCTTCGTACGCTTTTCACACCGAGAATCCTATTAAGGAAAAAGCAGTGCTCTCTCAGGGCGTAGGAAGAGATGGGGAGAAGCATGGGAGACTGATTAGCGCGAAACCACTGGCTTTCACATTTTAATCACAGCTATGATCCCAACAAGTCCCTACGTGCAGCAAACGTAGCACCCTTTGGAATGATGCTTTCCAAAGAGCTTTTCTATGGAGTGACAAGTATCTGTCCGGGGAACTACGAGTTACGATGTGGGTTTCCTCAGGCGCCTTTCCAGTACCGTACAGTGATTTCTCCTGTGTGCGCCAACATTCCAGCTCACTTTTCCTAGAGAAGCAAACGCTCAAAGTCAAAAGCACCCCTCCCTGGTCGCCCCCCCACCGACGACGTCGTGCAAGATGCAGCGGACTGATTTGGGAAAGAAACGCAGGCTGGAAGAGGCGTGCGGCAACGCGACGGAGGCCCAACAAGGGCACGCGGCGGGCTTCACGGGCACCGCTCTCTGAACTCGAAGGCCAAGCCCGGCCTCATCTTTTGCAGGGTTCGCCGGACAAGCGGCCCAGGCCCGCGCGCAGACTCGGCTCCTCCGGCTCCCCCGCTCCCCGTTGGAGTCAAACCGCTGCTCCCGGCGGAGCCCAACCTACCGCGCGCTCCGCGCTCATTGGCCCGGGGAGATGCCGCTCAGGCGCCGAGAGCCCGCCTCCCGCCTTCCGACGGCCCAAGGGCCGCCGCGATTGGCCGGCGGCGCCGCCAGTCAACGGCGCCGGCCCCAGCGCCGACCGGGCCGCGGCGTCCCGCCCCCGCCCTGCCATTGGCTGCCCGCGCCCGCCGCTCCCCCATCACTCGCCCCCACCCCGCGGTCCATTCATTTCACACAATAACGGGCGCCGCCGGAGCCGCCTCCAGCCCCCCGACGGGTGGGCCGGACCGTCCTCCACTTACCCGGGCTCGAGACCGGCCACTCACGCTAGCGTCCTCCCTGCTACTCTGCAGCGAGGCCGGACCGCAGGCCACCGCCGCCGCCGCCGCCTTCTGCGCAACGCCAACCGCCCGCCAAAACGGATCCTCCGCTGCGCCTGCGCGGCCAATCCCGGGCCCGGGCCCTCGCCCCGCCCCTCGCGCGTGCGCAGAGCGGAGCCCGGCGCCGCCTCCGCGCAGGCGCCGTGGGCCCGCGGCCGCCTCCCGCCCGCCATTTCCCGCGGCTCTGGGCGCCCGGCGGAGCCCGTCGGTGCGCCGGCGGAGACTCGCCATTTTCCTGCCCGTGCGCTCGGCGGGCGCGACGTTGCCCCGCCCCAGCCCCCAAAAAAGTGACATGTCAGCTACTTGTGATGAGTGTGCCGTTTGGGCCTAGCGAGGGGGTCGGAGTTTCCGGGGGAGGCGGGAGCGGTGGGCGGGCGCGTGGAGGAGGGACTGGCAGCCAACGAGGTGGCTCCGAACAGGAGTGACGGCCGGCCAGCCAATCGGGCGCCGGCGGAGCGATCCCGCCCAGCCAATCAGGCGCCGGAGGAGCGCTCCCGCAAGGAACCAATGGGCCCCCCCCGGGGGTGGGGATTACGGGCCCGCTCAACGGTGACGTAGCCCGGCGGCGCGGCCTGGGCCAATCGCAGCAGGGCGCCGTCCCGGGGAGCCAATCAGGGCCGCGCCCGGGCGGAGCCCGCCAATGCCGACGGCCCGGGGGCGGGATAAAAGCGGGGCTGCGGGCGGCTGGCGGAGGCGTTCGCGCGGCTGCTCCTTTCTCCTCGCGGACGCCGCCGAGTGCGCATCGCCGAGGCTTCCCTCCCCGCCGCCGCCATGTCGAAGTCCGAGGTAAGCGCGGGGCGCTCGGGCTCGCGCCCCTCCTCGCCCCTGCCGGGTCGCGCCGCGCGCGCTGGGGCGCGGCCGCCGCCCCCGGCCCGGGCTGTCGCTCGCCGGCGCCGCGACGCCCGCCCGCCCCCCCGCCGGGCCCGGGCCGCCATTTTGTCCCGGGCGCCATGAGGCCGCGGCCTGGCGCCGCGTGCGGGGCTCGGGCTTCGCGGCCGGAGCCGTGGCGCGCGCGCGGCCCGGGCCCCCGCGGGCGTCCTCGGGCGCGCGCCTCTCGGCGGGCCGCGCGGCACCGCGCCTTTGTTGCGCCCGCGCCCGGGCCGCGCCAGGGCGCATGCGCCGTCCGGGCCCCCGGCGGCCCCCTCGGCGCGGCCCGAGCACGTGGTCGCCGCGGCCCGCGGGAACAATGCGGCCCGCGCCGCGTGGCTCCCGGGCCCCGCCGGCTGACCGCCGCCCTCCCCGCAGTCCCCCAAGGAGCCCGAGCAGCTGCGGAAGCTCTTCATCGGCGGGCTGAGCTTCGAGACGACCGACGAGAGCCTGCGGAGCCACTTTGAGCAATGGGGCACGCTCACGGACTGCGTGGTGAGCCGCGGGGGTGGGGGCGCGTGGATCTTGGAAGCCGGGGGTGGGGGGCAGGGCGCGTGCAAGAGGCCCGCTCCGGGCCCGGCCCGGGGTCGGGGGTCCCCGCCCGGGTGTTGGTGCAGGCGAAAGGGATTGCATTGGAGACCCGGAACCTTGCCAGGGCAGGGGTGGCTTGGTTGAACGGATTGCGGAGGGGTCGGCGGCAGCACCGCGGGGAGGGCGTTTGCCTTGCATGCGGCCGACCCGGGTTCGATTCCCGGCTCCTCTTTTGTATACACATGCGTATACATATCTGCCTCCTACCCCCTCCCCCTGCAAGGCCAGCGTGACTCTAAAAGCAAAGCCGAAAAATAGATTCCGGCGGTGGGAAGCTGGAGTCTTTGGGATGGAGGGTCGGTGAGTCTGAGCTCTTGCTCGGACGGGAAGGACGGCGCCTCCAGGGTGCTGAGTTCGAGTCGACATTGCAGGTGATGAGAGACCCCAACACCAAGCGCTCCCGAGGCTTTGGGTTCGTCACCTACGCCACCGTGGAGGAGGTGGACGCGGCCATGAACGCCAGGCCACACAAGGTGGACGGGAGAGTCGTGGAACCAAAGAGGGCCGTCTCGAGAGAAGTAGGTGGTGGTCTCCGGGGAGGGGACTCTTTTTTCACGGGTCAGCGGGACTTCCGGGTAGGCGTGGCCAAGTGACGCGATCGGATTTTTTTCCTCCTAGGATTCTCAAAGACCGGGTGCCCACTTGACTGTGAAGAAGATTTTTGTCGGGGGCATTAAAGAAGACACGGAAGAACATCACCTGAGAGATTATTTTGAGCAGTATGGGAAAATCGAGGTGATTGAAATCATGACTGACCGAGGCAGTGGCAAGAAGAGAGGCTTTGCTTTTGTGACGTTTGATGACCATGATTCTGTGGACAAGATTGTCAGTAAGTGTTGCTGCTTGGCATTTCCTGGTTGCCCTGAAATTGGCTCTGTATTTCAGAGATTTCCCCCCTCGTTTTCTAGTTCAGAAGTACCATACTGTCAATGGCCACAACTGTGAAGTCAGGAAAGCCCTGTCCAAGCAAGAGATGGCCAGCGCTTCATCCAGCCAAAGAGGTGGGCCGTTGCTTCGTTGACTTTGAAGACGCTGCTTCTGTGGCTTGATTTCCATGCAGCTTAACCCTCGAAGTTTTTTTCTCTTGCAGGTCGAAGTGGCTCTGGAAACTTTGGTGGTCGTGGAGGTGGTTTTGGTGGGAATGACAACTTTGGTCGAGGAGGAAACTTCAGTGGGCGAGGTGTGTGTGGTTATAATGGACTAAGGATTAATAGTAGCAGGTGTGTAATTAGCCTCATTTGTACTTGTTGCAACTTGTGAGACACAGTTGCTGCTGGTCTGCATTTCCAAGTTACGTTTGATCCAAATGTAGTTTTGGCCTCTCAAGCCTGAAGCTAAAGATCTTTGGGGACCAGGTCTATTTGTGGAGTAAGGAAACTGGTTCCTGAGCACGAAGCATGGCTGATGCCACCCGTAAATGGAGCATCAATTTTTTTTGCAGGTGGATTTGGTGGCAGCCGAGGTGGTGGTGGATATGGTGGCAGTGGGGATGGCTATAATGGATTTGGCAATGATGGTGAGTTTCTTTGACTAAGGGATCCATAGGCGGAAAGTGTTTTGAAATCCTTAGGCTAGTAGAGACTAAACTCGAAGTGCATGGTAAAGCTTAACTGACCGTAATAGCATGTTCTGAGCAGGCCTTTAGCTGTTAGACTTGAACAGATGCTAATTGCTGAATACTTTTGTCTTATTGAGAAGAATTGTATTCTTGTAGGTGGTTATGGAGGAGGCGGCCCTGGTTACTCTGGAGGAAGCAGAGGCTATGGAAGTGGTGGACAGGGTTATGGAAACCAGGGCAGTGGCTATGGCGGGAGTGGCAGCTATGACAGCTATAACAACGGAGGAGGCGGAGGCGGCTTTGGCGGTGGTAGTGGTAGGTATCCAAGCACTTGGGGGTGCGTCAGCTAGATTAGCCTTGTGGCGTGTCTGCCTTTGTGGGGATCTGATGCTCGTAGAAGCGTTGTGTGGCACACTGCATGGTGTTCTCTGAGTGGGCTTCTACGCTACCTCCTCCTAGCTTTAAGCTGGGGCCGCCTCACTGCCAGCTAGGTAGATGTGGGTAATTCGTAGTGTCTTGGCTCGAAATTAGACCCACCAGGATTTAGCGACTCACCTCCTTGGGGACCGTAGGCACTTAGTTGATGTATCCAGGGAAATGTCTGCAGTACTGTCTGTGGGGAAAGCCCTCCGAGGCTGACGTGTGTGTTGGGTGAATTTCCTAATGGCTGGATTCTTCAACTGAATGCCTTCCCCAGGAAGGATGCCATAACAAAGAATGAACATTGCAGTCCTCAGTTTGGGAGGAAGGAAGGCAGGCATACTTGTGCGACTTACTTTGCTGTGAACTTTTTGTTAGGATTCAAAACTGTCATTCCCCAAGTTTCAGATTAAGGCTTTCTTTTTCTACTTCTAGGAAGCAATTTTGGAGGCGGTGGAAGTTACAATGATTTTGGCAACTACAACAATCAGTCTTCAAATTTTGGACCCATGAAGGGAGGAAATTTTGGAGGCCGAAGCTCAGGCCCCTATGGTGGTGGAGGCCAATATTTCGCTAAACCACGGAACCAAGGTACGGTAGTACATTCTGTGCTGTGGGAAGACCAAATACCTGTAATTAGTGATGGGTTTATGACATGTACAAGTGGTGCCTCTAGACAATCTGGGAAAGCCACAACTAACGGTTTTAAACCTTGGAATTAGAAAGATGAGACCTCAGATGCCTCGATTGAAAGCGTTACCCCAAATTAGGAGGGGGTTCATTCAGAAGACTAAGGAGGTGCGTTTTCTTTGTAGGTGGCTATGGCGGTTCCAGCAGTAGCAGCAGCTATGGCAGTGGCAGAAGGTTCTAATTGCCAGGTAAGTGAACCCCTGTTTGTGTTTCGGCTCTGTTGTAATGAATACTAATGAGCTCAGTAACCCTAATGTAGCCAAGCAGTGCAACGTAGTTAACATTATAATTGCAGTAAAAATTGTGGATTTTAAGTTAATATTCAGACCAGCAAAAATTTGTGGGAAACGACTTGCTATTGGATTGTAGCCTTGAGTCTTAATATGTTTAGATTAACAACTTTATTCCATATTGTTCAACAGGAAACAAAGCTTAGCAGGAGAGGAGAGCCAGAGAAGTGACAGGGAAGCTACAGGTTACAACAGATTTGTGAACTCAGCCAAGCACAGTGGTGGCAGGGCCTAGCTGCTACAAAGAAGACATGTTTTAGACAATACTCATGTGTATGGGCAAACACTCGAGGACTGTATTTGTGACTAATTGTATAACAGGTTATTTTAGTTTCTGTTCTGTGGAAAGTGTAAAGCATTCCAACAAAGGGTTTTAATGTAGATTTTTTTTTGCACCCATGCTGTTGATTGCTAAATGTAATAGTCTGATCATGACGCTGAATAAATGTGTCTTTTTTTTTTTTTTAATGTGCTGTGTAAAGTTAGTCTACTCTGGAGCCATCTTGGTAAACTTAACCCAACAGTGTGAAGTTAGAATTCTGCAGGGTGATGCCAGGTTCCATTTGAAATTTATTTATATCCTGCTTGGGCAGAGAAGACTTTGTCTTCAGAAATCTTGGTGTAGTTGAACTGACAGTTACTGTGTTGGGACCCTGGAGTTCAACATTAAAAAGGGTCACCCAAGCAGAGTCAATGAAGTTTATTTGGTTATCAATGATTGTTGGCACATCCTATGCGATATATCAAAATTGAATTATGGTACCAGATAAAATTATGGATGGGAATGAAGCTTGTGTATCATCCATTATCATGTGTAATCAATAAACGATTTAATATCCTCTTGAATGGAATGACAACTGTATGGATTCGGGACTGGCAGAGCTTTGGACTTCCCTGCCCACCACCCCCTGATAATGTTGACCGCTTCTGTCATAACTCAAGTTCAAAACTCTGCCAGAGAACAGAAACCAGCTGCTGGCTCATGCCGCCCCTATCCCACAGAATAGAAGTGTTTGGGAGACCTTTTTAAGGCTGGCCAGTACCAGTAAGAATTTCCAATATCCCGGAACAGGCTCACATTAAAGGAAAACTGCAGTTGGGGGGGAGGGGCGGCATTTTCTAGAGGCCAGCAGGTTGAATCACTGGCTGCTGCTCACCTTGGGTGCTAAAAATTGCGGAGCTGGGAGGAGCCGTGTTTTCTGGAAGTGGTAGCTGCAGTTTTCCTTTAAGTATGGCACAAGGTCACACAAACATCACCCTCAAATGTTGATTGTACAGAAATGATTTTTAAGTCTTTGAACAGTTAACATCCAAGCGTTGTTGTTTGTACATAGATCTCTATCGAGTCCCCCTTTGGAACCCTGAGTTTCAGTACCATTGTACCTAGCAGCATAGATTGTTCCTCACTAGGACTGTGTACTCCGTCCCACGGGTGGTGTGTTCCTTGGAAGTTTGGGGTGGGGGAGGGCAGCGCTGGGGGGCGGGAGGCGGGGCGGGCAGCAGGGATGTTCTCTGCAGTCCCTGGGTTTGACGCTGGCTGAGTTTGCGATGGCAGGTGGAACCGAAACTATTGAGGGAGTTTGCAGATACCTCAGGATTCGTGACAATGCCTTTAAAGATCCAGGAGATGTTCAGCTACTAGGAACTGCTAGCAAGCATAGCGCGAATGGCTCCGAGCTCAGACACTCTGCAGCCGAGAGTAGACACTTGTGGTATGTGGAGTCCAGATAAGCCAGGGGCAGGCCGCCCGCCCGGCATGCTCCAGGACAGCTAGGAGGGAGTGGAGTTTGAGTGACCACCGCCAGGAAGGAGGCAGACGAGAGTAAGGCACCTGGCTTGACTCTTAGGACTAGCAGTCAGAACCAGGAGGAAAGGTTTTATTGCTATGCTGGTAGGTAAGAACAGATTTTCCTTCCGTATAGTTACCTAAAGTCCAGTTTTCTCTATATTTTCCTTGATAAAATTGAGCCTCAACTAGTCCAGTTAAGCTGAACTTGGTTTTTCTGGAGTTTAATGATTTTCGATTAATGCCCTAGTCTTGACTTCCAACTGAAGAAAGTGAGCACTGTTAATTACTTGTGCTGTCATGATACATTTTCGCCCGTAAATTTTTAGTCCTTTAATCTGTTCTTGTACAACAATGGCTCAAAGTAGAATCTGCTGCCCTAAGGTGGGTGGGGGTGTGGGGCGGTTGGACCATTAGTGGGGCAGGGGTGGAGGGGTCTGGCCTGAAGGGGACTTGATTCCAGGAGAGCTAGTTCTAAAGATTGTTTGCTTTTCTAGGGAGGAGTCTGCTACTACCACACACAGGTTTATCCGCCCTAAAAAATAAAACAGAAACTCGTCCCTCAAGGTTCATGACTAAAAGGTAAGTTTCCGTAATCTTGGGGTTGGCGTTTGGTCCCTAACCGGATCATCGAAGGCACCTAAAACTACTGGCCCAGGTGGGTTCCCTGTGCGGGGCGACGGTAGCTTCCCGGCTGCTCCCGTAAGTCCCGCGTCGCTTCTCTCTTGCAGGAACATCCTCACGAGGACGGCCTTTACTGTGAGCCACAGCGCTTGCTTCTCACTGCCATGCAGTTCAGCTGTTCTGCAGCTCATTGATCATTCCGTTTTTGTGAATGGACTTTAAATAAAGCACTTTGAACTCACTTGCTGGTCGTTGTGTTTATGGTAAAGTACTTGGTACTGTACAGTGGCTGTTTGAGTGTGAAACGGATCAGCTGAACCATCTACCTGGCCTCTGGATCATTGTTTTTGGGGTGAGGGCTGATTTCACTTAGTGTGTTCGATTTTAAAACAAAAAAAATGGGGGCGGGAGCAATAGCACAGCGGGCAGGGCAGTGCCTTGGACACGGTTGACCCGGGTTCGATTCCCAGCATCCCCTATGGTCCCCCCAAGCACCACCAGGGGTAATTCCTGAGTGTAGAGCCAAGAGTAACCCCTGTGCATTGCCGGGTGAAAAAAACAAGTTATGTGTGTGTATGGAATAGTGACTCATCTCAAACCCCAAGAGTTGTGTTTTTTGGTTCTTCTTTGCTTTTTTGGGGTCACACCTGGCAATCACGTCATCGTGGTTTTTTCTATGAGGGATTGGGCCCAGGGCCTCTCAATTTAAATCACGTTTTTATTCTACGTTTTTGTGGTTAGTGGGTTGGGCCATACCTGGTAGTGCTCTAGGCCTCCCTGTTGCACTTGAAAGTACAAGTCATGGCGAGGATTAAGCCTGAGTCTGGCTTCTTTGGCTCACACAGGGCAATGCCCAGGAGTTGCCCCTATTTGGCAGGCGTCAGTAATAGGACGGGTGTCAGCCGTGCGCACGGCGAACACCCTACCTGCTGCTACTAACGCTCCAGCTCCCGACCATGTTTGTAGCTGGAAACTTCGATTTGTCATTCAGACTTGTTCTTTTTAGGAACAATGCCGGAGTGTTTTCAATTCTCGGCAATTCTGGATGTGGGACCCATATTCTGGGGCAGCTGGCTCTCCGTGTGGCATGACAGTGCTGGGGGTCAAACTGGGGTCAGCTGCGGGCAAGGCAACAAAGTATCCTAACCCCTGCTACTCCCCAGTCCTATTAACGTCTTGTTCCACTTTCTGCGGTTAGGTGAGCAGATCCCAGTGGTATCTATTAGGCCAATGTAGTGTTATCTCCATGACCACATGCCTTGTCTCCTGTGGATCCAGTAGCTAGAACTTTCACCTTTGAGAGCTTAGAGTGAACTGTGAGCGAAAAAAATTCTCGGCTAATCTGAAGCCTTTCTAATTTGACACTTCCAAATTTTTGAGATAAGTTGGATCTGGACTGTCTTCAAGCTTGGCATTTTCTCAAACTTGTAAGCATGAAGATTACACATCTTTTTGCTTGGTGGGGAGGAAACACCTGACAGTAACACTGGCTTTGGGGGTCCCTCTTGGCAATGTTGAGGTGACCATAAATGGTACTGGTGATCAAAATGGTACTGACCATGTGCAAGGGTAGATTCCCTGATACTTAATCACTCAAGACAACTTTTTTTTAAGGGGGGGGAGTTTCTGGGCCACACTCAGCAATGTTCAGGGTTTATTCCTGGGTTCTGCACTCGGGAATTAATCCTAGCAATACTCAGACTCTTGACATGCCAGGGACGAAACCCAGGTCAGCTTTATGCAAGGCAAACTCCCTACCGACTGACCTGTCGCTCCAGCCCAGCGTAACCATATCTGCCTGCCTTCATGTCTCTAGCATATGACAGCTTCAAGTAAGGTTTCTTGGAATTGAATGGAAGTATAGCTAAAATTTCCAAGCGGGTAGTTTGTAATTGACTGACAAGGAAGATTGAAAACCACTTAACTGGAAACGAGCAAAGTGTGGTCTCAGGTAGATTTGACTAAACTGTTGTTAGTGGCTAAAACTGGGGAAACTTAAATTCTGTTCTTTCTGTTTGGGGGTCAAACCTGGCTTTGTGCCCAGGGACCACTCTTTGGGCTCCAGGACCACCTGGGGTGCCAGGGTTCACTGCCTGCAAGGCGATCACCCTTCCCGCTGTACTGTCACTCTGGCTCTGGCCTGAGGGCAGCTTCCGACGGCTCCCAGGGATGCACCGTCAAACCAGCGTTCGATAGTGCCCAGGCCTCCCACCTGCAAAAGAAGCACCCAGCCCGTGGAGCCTGTTGAACTCTGCAGTTGCTCAGTATTTTCCAAAGAGGAAAATGCCCTTGGTTTTAAGGAACTTCAGGTGGCGAAGAGGAATGGCCCAGCAATTGGGGAGCATTTATTTGTCTAAACCAGAGAGAAGGTTTCACAGAAGCGACCTTGTGTTCCACTGTCAGATTTGTCTTGGGGCCACACCTGCTTGTGCTCAGGGCTTACTCCGAGCTCTGCTCTGGGGACCTTATTAGTTGCCAGGGATCAAACCCAGCTTGGCCGTGTGCAAGGTAAACGCCTTTCTGCTATACTATTGCTCCAGCCCCTACACTGTCAGATTGATCTTACACTACAGATGCGGGTGTGAGATTCCCTGATCCTTAAAAATGTTCCAGCACGTGTCTGTTTTGTGTGTGTGTGTGTGTGTGTGTGTGTGGGCCACGTCTAGCGATGCTTGGGGGCATTACTCCTGGCGGTGCTCAGGGGCCATATGGCATGCTAGAGATCGAACCTGGGTCTGCCGTCTGCAAGGCAAGTGCCTCATCCACTGCTCCCGCGCTGCACTCGCTCAAGCTCAGTTCTTGGCTTTGTCTTGAAGCCCGTGTTCTCCCTTGAGTATGTATCTCGCTTGCTTATCTCTGTCTCTTTGCTTCTCCGCCCTGCTCTCTTGAACATTCCTTCCACCATCACCTCCCTCCCCACACACACACACACACACACGCACTTCTTCCCACCATCCCTCCATCCGCATCTTTTTTGCTTTTTGTTTTTTTGTGCCATACCCACCAATGCTCAGCGGTTATTACTGACTCTTTGCTCAGGAGTCATTCTTGGCAGGCTTGGGGGACCATATGGGATGCCGGGGATCGAACCCAGGTTGGCCTGTTGTGCTCTCTCTCCAGCCCCTCTCATGACATCTTTCCAAGTATCATCAAATAAAAAACTATCTTGCATCACACACACACACAAAATAAACCAACAGTTTTTCCCCTTGCATTTTTTTTTTAACTGCACCCTGTGATACTCGAGGCTTCACTGCTGGTGGGGCTTGGGTGAGCAGGGATAGAACCCAGGTCAGCTACGGGCAAGGTAAACACTCTACCCACTGTATTACTGCTCTGGCCCCTGAACTGTCATTTCGCCTAAACAGCTCAATTTTTCAAGAGGTCTTGCTCATCAGGATCTAGGGAACCCTGTAGAAGTAGTGGATGGTGGGAGCGATGGGGTACAGGGAAGAGGCCTGTGGACTTTCTAGGGTTTCTCCTGCTTTAGATTGAGGAAGGAGGGACTGGACCTGAGCCTGCACAGATGGTCATCAGCGTTGGCAGCTCCCCACTCGTACAAGTAGGGTTCCTTGTCATCTATGCCTCTGGCTCTGAAAAGGGGTGTGTGTGTGGGGGGGGGGGAGTCTGAGATAGGTGTAGTTCTCACGAAGTTGTAAAGGCAAGATGGGCTTGGCAGGGTTCTCACCCTACAGCCAGTGTGCAGTGAGCTCTAAGGAGCACTGGACTTCATCACGCTCCCTGGAAAAGGAACACACGGAGAAATCTGTTTCCGCGGTAGGCTTTATGTGCCAAAGCTCAAACAAGGGTGGCAGTGGACAGTCCAGCCCTCCGCTCACTAGCCTCTTGCCTCTTGAAGCACACCTTATGTTGCAGGTGTCCGAGTGCCCGCTGTGGTTCGCTTCTGGCCTAGACTAGTGGTTTGGGGCCTTTTTTTACACCTACAGGCAGGCGATTGATCACCACTGGTCATAGAACTCCAGGGACTCAGGGCTGGGGAGTATCTGCATTAGCAGGGATGTTTTTGAATTATTTATTTGGGGGTTTAGGCCACACCCCGCAGTGCCCAGATACTGAGCGTCCCACACGTTGCAGTGCCCAGCGCCCTGCAGGAGCCCCCGCATAGGAAAGCGTGTGCGCCCCAGCCTTTTGAACCACCTCCCTGGCCCCTCGCAGGAAAGGCCGGGGCCGACCCGACGGCGTGTGAAGAAAAGCTCCATCACCAGTCCGTGCCCACGCGGGCCGACTCAGTCTGCGGCCTCCACCTTGAGGCCCCGGGGCACCAGGAAGATGGCCCCGTCGGCACCCTGCTGCAGCGCGTACTCCTCGGGAGAGTACCTGTTGCCCGCCTCGTCCCGCAGGTGCTGGAAGATGTCACGGTACAGCTCGGCCAGCTGCTGCCGCATGACCTCCAGGGTCCGGTCAGTCTCCCCCCGGGCCTGGAGGAGTCGCTCCCGCTCGCTGCCCAGGCGCTCCAGCTCCCGTTCCAGCTGCACGATGGTCTCCAGCTTCCTTTTGCGACAGTTCTGGGCCGCCACCTTGTTCTTGCCCCGCCGTCGGATGTCCCGCACGAGTGCCAGCTGGCTCTCCGTCAGCGGGTAGCGTGCCAGCAGCTCGTTAAAGTCGTCCACCGGCAAGTTGACGATCTTGTCTGTGGGGAAAGGGATCTTCATGGCCAGCGCCCGGCGTTCGTCTCGGCTCCCCGCTTCCCCCCGGGCCGCGGGCTTGGCTCTCGCAGGGCCCGAGGGGGGCTCCATGGCTAAGGGGGTCTCGGCAGGCGGTGGCAAGGCGTAGCTGGGCTGGGCCAAGGAACTGGGCAGGAGCGAATAGGGGTACTCCGCTGGGTACATCTCCACGTACTCGCCGCGCCGACGGCCAGCCTCTGCCCCTTCCAGCTCGAGAGATTCTGCATCGCTGTAGTTGAGTGACAATCCGGAGTCAGACTCCGGGTCTTCTTGGGGCTTGGCTGGCCCCGCCGGCAGCCCAATGTCCAGGAGAGTCAGAGGGTCGGAGAGGGGTTCGCTGAGCAGGCCCGAGAGGGCGAGCGGCTTGGAGACTGGTATGGCCATGTTGCCATAAGGGTACGGAGGGTCTGGGACGGGAGGTGTGGGGACGGGCAGCTCATAAGGTGGTGGGGGGAGGGGGAAGCCGGCCTCCGGCTGAACGGAGCAAGGACAGTAGTTTGGGGCTGCCGGGGGTCCCGGGTACGGGGTCAGCACTGGGGGCTCGTATGATGGTTCACTCGGAGCATTCATGGCCTGCGACAGAAACACACAGAGGTTTGAAGGCGGGCGGGAGAAGAGAAACAAGGTCTCCGCAGGCCAAGCTGCATCTGAAAGGCCCCCCAGCAAGGCAGCAGCCAGGGAACAGGGACCGCGTGGTGCTGAGCGTCGCGGGAATCTTTCTGTGGAGTCGGACTGTAGCTCTTGGCACACTCTTCCCCTCTCCCCCGCTCCCCCCAACATTTCTCTGCTGTTGGAGCCGGAGCGATAGCACAGCGGTAGGGCGTTTGCCTTGCATGCAGCCAACCCGGCCGGCAGACCTAGGTTCGATTCCTCCGCCCCTCTCGGAGAGCCCGGCGAACTACTGAGAGTATCCCACCCACACGGCAAAGCCTGGCAAGCTCCCCGTGACGTATTCGATATGCCAGACACAGTAACAGCAAGTCTTAATACGGAGACGTTACTGGGCCCGCTCGAGCAAATCGATGAGCAACGGGAGGACAGTGACAGTGACAGTGTTTGATTTGGGGCCACACCCAGCGATGCTCAGGAGTTACTCCTGGCCCTGTACTCAGGACTATCACTCCCAGTGTTACTTTGGGAGACCATCTGGGATGCCGGGGATCAAACCGAGGTCAGCCACATGCAAGGCAAATGCCCTACCTACTATACCTACTAGACCTCACTCTGTCCCCACCCAAAACAATTTAGTAAAACAGGAATGGCAGTCTGGAGGAGTTCTGGGGTTTTGTTTTTTGGGTTTGTTTTTGTTTTTGCTTTTGGGTCATACACAGCAGTGCTCGGGGGTTACTCCTGGCTCTACACTCAGGAATTATTCCTGTTGGTGCTCAAGGGACCATACGGGATCCCAGGGATTGAACCCCGGATTGGCCACATATAAGGCAAATACCCACTGTACTGTGGCTAGGAATGGCAAGGGTTTTTTTGTTGTTTTTTTTTACTTTGGGTCACACCTGGCGATTCACAGGGGTTCCTCCTGGCTCTGCACTCAGAATTACTCCTTGCGGTGCTTGGGGGACCCTATGGGATGCTGGGAATCAAACCCGGGTTGGCCACGTGCAAGGCAAACGCCCTACCCGCTGTGCTATCGCTCCAGCCCCAGGAGTGGCAGTTTTTAAGGTCAGGCTTCAGAAAAGACTATCTGGAGCCAGAGAGATTGTCCAGAGGTTAAGACACTTGCCTTACATGTGCCTAACCCGCGTTCAATCCCCTGATTGAACTACCTATGGTCCCCTGAGCACTGCCACAAGTAAGCCCTAAGCAAAGTCAGGTGTAGTCCAAAAACGAAGAACAACCATGTAACGTGACTATTACGGAACCTTCTCTTTGGGAGAAGTTCTTTCCGGGTTGAAATAGCTCGAATTCCTCTGTTTCCTCATGGAAGACAGTTATTATCAAAAAAGCGCCCCTCTGGGGGCTGGAGCGGTAGGGCGTTTGCCTTGCACACGGCTAACCCGGGTTTGATTCCCAGCATCCCAGATGGTCTCCTGAGCACTGCCAGGAGTAATTCCTGAGTGCAGAGCCAGGAGGAACCCCTGTGCATCACCAGGTGTGACCCAAAAAGCAAAAAAAAAAGCGCCCCTCTGAATTCTTTGCTGCTAAGGTTATCTACCCAGGCGGGGGCGCGCGAGCGATAGCACAGCGGGTAAGGCGTTCGCCTTACAAGCGGCCAACATGGCCGACCCGAGTTCGATTCCTCCGCCCCTCTCGGAGAGCCCGGCAAGCTACCGAGAGTATTGGATATGCCAGACACAGTAACAAGGTCTCCAATGGAGACGTTACTGGGCCCGCTCGAGCAAGGTTATCTTAGGTCAAGAAGTCAATCAGACCCTGGCATGCCCCGGGTGCCCAGTAGAGGGAGCTGCTGTGTGGGAGGAGGGTGAGGGCAGGTTCTGTGCACCCAGGCCCTGGGGAGGTCCGGGTCTAAAGGACCCTGGGGCAGCAGCGGCAGAACACCAGCCTCCTCCCGTGCCTTGTCCCTGCCCAGGTGCGCGGAAGAGGAGGGAACGTGTTGGAAACGGGGCCCCCACCATGTCAGGAAGCACCCCTGCGCCAGCCAGCTCGCGACAAAGGCGGCATTGTTGGGTGAACAGATACCCCTTTGTCCAACCAGCAGAGGACCCCGCAGAGTCCGACTCCCCTTCCCAAGGCCCCTGCATTACCTCTTTGCTACCTGGGAGAAAGGGGCCCAGCAGCTGAGGGCGGGTGGTGGGGGGAGAGGGAAGAAGATGGGCAGGGTTTGTGTTGTTGTTGTTGTTTTTCTGCTTTTTGGGTCACACCAAGGGGTTCCTCCTGGTTTTGCACTCAGGAATGACTCCTGGCGGTGCTCGAGGGACCATCTGGGATGCTGGGAATCGAACCCGGGTCGGCCATGTGCAAGGCAAATGCCCTACCCGCTGTGCTATTGCTCCAGCCCCGAAGATGGGCAGTTTTTGAGGAAAGAGAAGTCGGAGGCGGTGAGAAAGGGAAGGCCCAGCAGGATGCGGGCAGGGGGTTCGAGCAGAGTGGCCACCGGGAGGGCTTCACGGCTTCAGATCCACTCCCACCCCCCACCCCGCCCCCGTTCCCTGGTTCCCTGCCCATCTGCTCATCCTCCCCCGGCCCTCCCCTTTCCAGAGATCCAGAGCCCCACTGCCCACCGACTCCCCGCGGCCCCACTCCCCGCCCCGCCCGCCAGCCCCGCTCACCTGCAGCTCCGTGATGGACATGATCTCCTGCCAAGTGAGTTCCATCTCGCCCGGCTCCAGAGTGAGCAGCTGTGTCCCCCCGTTCGTGCTTTGCTGGGGAGGACACGGGGGCATCCTACTGGGCCAGGGCCCCCCAATGCCCAAAGAGCCCCAGAAACCTGTGGGAGACACGGAACTTAGGATGGCTCCTGCGAGGGGCCACCCTCTGGCTCCTGCTTCCATGAACACGTTCCTTCGGGCTACACGTCACCCTCTCAGGTGCCAGCCTCCTCCACCAACTCCTTTTTATTTATTTATTTATGTTTCCTTTTCTGTTATGGGACTGCTGGAGCAATAGCACAGCGGGTAGGGCGTTGGTCTTGCACACGGCCGACCCGGGTTTGATTCCTCCGTCCCTCTCGGAGAGCCCAGCAAGCTACCAAGAGTATCCCGCCCACATGGCAGAGCCTGGCAAGCTCCCTGTGGCGTGTTCCATAGGCCAAAAACAGTAACAACAAGCCTCACCGTGGAGACGTTACTGGTGCCCGCTTGAGCAAATCGACAAACACCGATGAACAACTGGAGGACAGTGCTACAGTTCTGGGAACACACCCAAAATAGCTCAGGGCTTACTTCTGCCCCTGTGCTCAGTGATCACTCCTGGTGGTGCTCGAAAGACCATATGGGATGCCGGGGGTCGAACCCAGGTCAGGGCCACATGCAAAGCAAGTGCCTTACCCGAGGGTGCTATTACTCTGTCCCCAGCTCCTTAGCCTCTGAAGTCTTTCTGAGTCAGTCTCCACCTCACCTGCGGTCGTCGTCAGGTCCTTTGGGAGCACAGCGGGTCTTTCCCTGTTTGGTTTTTGTCTTCAGTGGATGTCTTCTCCTGCCCCTATTTCTGACTTCCCCAAATTGTGTTCCTGGCTAGAGTAGTCACATCATCTGGGGGGTTTTCCCCTTTCCTGGGGTAACACCAAGGATCACTTCTTCCTTCTCTGTTCTCAGGCTTTTCTTCCCAAGATGAGAGTGAGTGCGTGGGGATCCCTGAGGAGTGTGTCGTGGGGAGAGCCAGGCAACAGCCCCTCCCCTTCTCGGAGATACGTCCAGGCCTGGTGCCTGATAGGAGCCCTGCCCACTCCTGCTGGCCTGAGCCTGGGCTCCCCTGCCAGCTCCGATAAGAGGCTTATCAGCTGGAGCAGCGAAGAAGGACTGGCCTCTGGGGACACTGGACTTCTGCCCTGGGTCTGCACAGGGTCAGCTTGGCTGTATCCCAGTCCACCAGCCGGAGGGTCTTTCGAAGGATGCATAAAAACCACACTAAGGGGCCAGAGCATTGGTACAATGAATGGAGTTGGCCTTGCATGCGTCCAACCTGGGTGTGATCCCCGGCACTCGATATTGTCCCCCAGGCACTGCCAGGAGTAATTCCTTAGTACAGATCCGGGGGTGAGCACTGAGCACTGGTGTGGCCCCAAATCCAAATCCAATACCCCCCCCAAAAAAAACATTAAACTAGTGTCCAAAATGGGGCTGGTGTTCGACAAACATTCATCGATGAGATTGATTTTCACAAAATCCTATAGAGTCCATTCGGAAACTGAGACCCAGCTTGGGGCAAGGCAGAATCGGGCTAGAACCTGCCTGGGTTCTCCTGCCCACCCTCCTGTTCTGCTGTTTCCAGGGGACTCTTTTTCTACAGCCTTGGAGACATATTCCCTCCAGCCCCCTCTGTGATCTGGGCCTTGGCCGCGGGCTGGCCACCACCAGCAGGGCTGTATTGGGCAAGCTCAGGGCACTTCTCGGGCCTCTGTTTCCTCATTTGTATAAGCAGGGAGTTGAACACCTTGAACCTGGAGGTCCCTTTCTATGTGGTTGTGCGGCCTTTTCGGCAACCCGCCGACGACCCTGCCTCCCCCCACTCACTCTTAGGCTGTATCTGTTCCCACCTCCCACCTTCCCTCCCCGTCTCTGTTCTCCCTGCCTTCAGCCAGAGATTCTAAGTAGACTTGGCCAGGCCCTCTGATCTCTTAAGCGCACAGACCGTTCCCCCCACCCCACCCCACACCGCCACCACCATCGAGGGAGGAAAGGCTTGAAGAGGGGAACTTTGCAGAACTTTGAGTACTGGATGGTTTCAAATTGCACAAACATATGTCACCCATATATCACCATATGGGTGGCCTCTTGGCGATGTAGCCTGGGACCCGTCTCTGACTTACACAGACTTAGCAGCAAGCACTATAAGTGATTCTCTGGGGGGGGGGGGGGGTACCTCCGTAGCCCCTCACCTCCAACTGCTTGTTCTGTGCCACCTCCGGAGCTGGAAGCTGGTGTCAGTACCATCCCTTGACCAGGGAGCAGAGTGCGTGGGTGTTTATGTCTGTCCAGGATGCTATTGCAACACCGGAACCCCACCCCCCCACCCAGGTTCAGAAGGAAATTGCTCAAAGACAAAGTGAATGGAGAAGGAGCTTGGGGGCAGGGACAATGGCTCTTGCCTCATCCTGTGCAGCGCCCCCTTCTCCTCCCCGTCCCCCTTCGTCCCTCCTCCATCTTCCAGACTCTGACTCAGGTGCAGTACCAAGATCCAGCACTAGGAGGCAGGAGACCAGGTTCTGTGACCCTAGAGTGAACCTTTCGCGGCTCTATTCCATCACATAGGGATGGGCTTGAAGAGCCTCCTTGAGGTGAGAGACAGCAGATTGCCTTGAGGGCAGGCAGTCCCAAGCTTTGTGGTTTGCCACATTCTCCCAGGGAACCTGTGAAACCACCAAATCCCGAAGCCATCTGGACTCCTGAATGAAATTCCCAGGCGATGTGACATGATGTTCTCCGCTCCCTCCCACCGAAGTGTCAAATTCTCCAACCATATGGATTTCCAGGAAGGAACACAAACCCGAAAGGAGACCAGCAGTCACCCTCTAGGCTTCTCCTAGTTCAAATCCTCGACCAGGTAGTGCTGAATTCAAGGCTAACCCCCTCTCTTAGACTATATGTCAGTCCCCTTCGATGAAAAGCAGTAGTTTGGGGTCAACAATAGCACAGCGGGTCGGGTGTTTGCTTTGCACGGCATCCCATATGGTCCCTGAGCACCGCCAGGGGTAATTCCTGAGTGCAGAGCCAGAAGGAACCTCTGAGCATCGTCAGGTGTGACCCAAAAAGGAAAAAAAGAAAGGAAAAAGAAAAAAGAAAGGGGGCTGGAGCGATTGCACAGAGGGTAGGGTGTTTGCCTTGCACGCAGCAGACCCGGGTTCGATTGCCAGCATCCCATATGGTCCCCTGAGCACCGCCAGGAGCAATTCCTGAGTGCAGAGCCAGGGTAAACCCTGTACATCGCTGGGTGTGACCCAAAAAGCAAAAAAAAAAAAAAGAAAAAAGAAAGCCAGTAGTGGGGCTGGAGAGATAGTACAGCAGGTAGGGCGTTTGCCTTGCATGCGGCAAAAATAAATAAAATCCGCCAAGCTTTAAAAAAAGAAAGAAAGAAAGAGAAAGAAAACCGGGAGTTCATTCTCCCTCACAGGGAAATGAGAATTGAAAAGGGGCGAGCTCTTAGGGACCAGCAAGATAGTACAGCAGGTAATGAACCTGCCTTGCAAGAGGTTAAGCCAGGTTTGATTCCGGGCATCCCATATGGACCTCTGTTTTTTTGTTTTGTTTTGTTTGCTTTCTGGGTCACGCCTGGTGATGCACAGGGATTACTCCAGGCTCTATATTCAGGAATTAGCCCTGGCGGTGCTCGCGGGACCATAGGAGATGCTGGGACTCGAACCCGGGTTAGACATGTGTAAGGCAAACGCCCTACCCACTGTGCTACTGCTCCAGCTCCCCATATGGTCCTGTGAAGCCTTGCTAGAAGTGATTCCTGAGCACAGAATCAGGAGGAAACGCTGTGCACTGCTGGGTATAGCCCAAAAGCCAAGAAGAAAAAGAAAAAGATGAGCTGCAGGAGGCAGGAGACTGGGGAGACAAGAGATGCAGACTTCTGGACCGGCTCCCTCCAACTCACATGCACTGCGCTGATAGTACAGTGGGTAGGGCACTGTCTTGCATGCAGCCGACCAAGTTTGATCCCCAGCACCACATATGGCGCCCCAAGCTGCACCAGGAGTGAATCCTGAACGCAGTTGGGGGTAGGCCAAAAACAAAGCGAAGCAAAAATCTGCATCGGCCAAAGGGTGCCCCGGGTCTCCCTGGGGTGGAATGGGAAATGTGTCCGCACTGAGCATAGACCTCCTGAGGACCACAGTGGTCCAGAATAGGGAGAGGGTAGAATCAGAATCGGATTGGGGCTGGAGCAATAGCACAGCGGGTATGGCGTTGGCCTTGCACGCGGCCGACCCGGGTTCGATTCCCAGCGTCCCCTCAAGCACCACCAGGAGTGATTCCTGAGCGCAGAGCCGGGAGTAACCCCTGAGCATCAGCTGGGTGTGACCCAAAAATAAAAAAAAAAAAAAGAATCAGAATCGGATCAAATAGTACATCACAGGGGACAGACACTGCAGAGTGACTAGGAAGTCACTCCCTCCACAGACCCCCTTCTCTTTATAATAAATCACCTTGTCTGACCTCCGAGGTCACACACACATCTAAGTTCCCAACGTGGTAGGTCAGAAGGGACTGGACTTGACTGGGTGACTAGGAGCCTGTCACCCTCGCTCCTGATGGATCTGCTCAGGACGATCTTAATACAATCCCTGAGTCCCCTCCACAGACACTCAAGGGAAGGTCGTGGGCAACAAAAGACATGGGCCATGGGCCACAAGTGCCACTCCAGTACCAGCAGCGCTTTGTCGGAGGGGAGGGAGCGGGCACAGACTTCTGGGACCCTGTTCCGGGGGTTATGGGGCAGTGACAGGCTGGGGAGAGATCAGGGAGGCATGGGGCCTGGGGTAGCAGGTGAGTGGATTCTTTAGAAAGATTAAGGGGCTGGAGCAATAGTGTAGCAGGTAGGGCACTTGCCTTGCAAGTAGCAGACCCGGGTTCGATTCCCAGCACCCCATATAGTTTCACTAGCTCACCATAGTGCTTCCTGAGCACAGAGTCAGGAGTAAGTCCTAAGTACCACTAGGTATGGCCCACAAAGAAGAGAAAGAATGAAAGAAAGAAAGAAAGAAAGAAAGAGTAAAAAAAGAGGATTAGGGGAGATGTCCCCAGAGGGACAGGCACAAAGAGGTGAGGAAGAACTCAACAGGATGGAATGGAAAGGGAGGGAGGGAGGGAGGGAGAGAGAGAGAGAGAGAGAGAGATTTAATCAGAGCGAATCTTCCCTGGAATGTATTTGACTCCAACAGGTGCGTTAAAAGGTCGGGAGAGAGAGGGGGTGGGTGGGTGTGGCGGGGTCACACTCTGTTATCCTGTCACTTCACCCCAGCCCTTCGGGGATCCGTGACTAGAGACCCCCAGGCAGTGCTCAGATGCTCTCTGCCTTCCATCCCACCCCCCTCCTGAGCCTCCAAGCTCTCCCCAGGGAAGGAGCCCCAGTGGCTGACACCTTCTCCCTTCCAGTTTTGGCTGTTCTCTGCTGCTCCAGGCCAGGCCAGGGAGAACTCAGCACCCCCCTCCCACTGCAACTACACCTCCTTATCCTGGCACCCCGCACTTTGCATGCCTCAGTTTCTCCAAAGCTTCCCGGCTGGCCGGACAGAGGGACATAGTGAAAGTGTGAAGTGTGTGTGTGTGTGTGTGTGTGTATGTGTGTGTGTGTGTGTGTGTGTGTGGAGTGGGGGGTTTCTGTACTTGAGAATCTATAGGCTTGCCCAAGAAACCAGCTTGTGTAAGGGTTATCCAGGGTCATTTCTCAGCAGACCACCGGCTGAGCACTTAGAGGTGCTCAGGGAGCACCGGCAGGTCCCGTCCCAAGCCTCGCAGCCAAGAGTCCTCGAGGGCTGGAGGAGCAGTCCCCAGTGCCAGATTCTCTCCTTTTGGGGGAGAGGGGGCCACTCTTGGTGACGCTCAGTGCTGGGAGACCAAGGATGGAACCCCGGGCCAGGCACCTGCCAGCCAAGCGCCCCGGCTGCCTGCCGTGGTGTTGCTCCAGCCCCTGATGTCAGATGCTTAAGCCAGGGGCTGCCTGGCAAGGCCTGAGTTCTCCTAGGGAACGAGCGGCTGGGAATGAGCGGGTTCCTGGGAATGGCCTTGGGTTATCTCCGCCCCTGCCTCTTTCATCCCTCCCGGGTGCCCCTCAGACCTCACTGGACCCCCCTCCCTCCCTGTCCCCAAGGCACCTGTGGCCGGGTCCGGGCAGGCGGGCGTGCAGAGGGACGAGGCTTCGCAGCTGTCTCTGGGGAGACTGTCTCTGGGCTGACACCCCGGGGTGCCACCTCTGAGAGCCGGGCAGGGCCAGGCCCCGCCCCTGGACCATCGCCGGCGGAGGCAGGCCGGGCTGGGGAGCCGCACTCCCCTCGGAAGCGCAGGCCAGCCCCGGTCCTTCCTCCAGCCCCCTCCCCCCGGCCCTCCTCTCCTCCGGCCCCTTCTGGCCAGAGAGGAAACTTGAGCTCGTGTGGTTTGCCCGTCCCCGCCCCACCGCGCTCCCTGGCAGCGGGGGGCACGGCTGGGCTGCCCCCACCCCGCCCCCGCGCCCCTCGAAGCCCCGGGTCCTGCCAGGGCTGCCCCTCTCCGGGGCGTGGGGGGGCGCGGGATTCCGCCGGGACGTCCGCTCCCAAGTGACCTTAAACTTGATACAAGTTGCCACCTCCTTCCTGTGGCTACCTGGAGTCTCCTGGGAAACTAAGTCACAGCGAAGTGGCCGGGCGCGGAAGAAGGGGACCAGGCGAGCAGCCACCGGCTCGGCTCCGGGGTGGGGGCGGGGAACAGGTGGGAAGCCCCGGGGTCCGGGGAAAGGGGGGAGGGGCAGCGGGGGGCTTTGATGTTCCACCTGGAGCCTCCCCCCCTCCGCTGCAGCCTCAGATGTCCTCGGACAAAGGCCTCTTTCTTGGCCGGGTTTCCGCGGGGTTTGAGGGGAGGTGGGGTGGGCACCCAGGTGAGACATTGTTCCTCTCTCTTCAAGAGGACCCTGGTGCCCTCTGGCCTCCTTTCCTGCAGGCGAAGAACATCCCAGCCCTGTGCCAGTCAGACCCTGGACGGGCCAGAAGTGTGTGGCTAGGCCCACGCCTCAGGTCCGTTTGTGATTCCTTCCTGGGTTACCTGCTCCTTCATCCTCTTCCGTCTCCAGGACACATCTCAAATCCCACGTCCGGCTTCTCTCTCCAGTGCAAGTGATCTCCAGTCATAAGGCCCCACGCCAGACCCGGGAGCAACTGTCACAGAGCTGAGAGTGACTCAAGAGGGGTTTTGAGAGCCAGTCCAGTGGGTCGGGCACTTAGCTGGCAAGAGCTGACCGGGGTTGCTTGATCCCTGGCTTCCTTCCGATCTGGTCCCTGGAGTCATCCCTGAGCACCACCAGGTTTGTCCCCAAACAAAAACAAACAAAATAAACCCCTCCAGAAACCCCTTTTGAGTCACTCTCAGCTCTGCCACAGTTCCTCCCGGGTCTGGCGTGGGGCCTTATGACTGGAGATCACTTACACTCTCGGCTTCTCCCTGGGCTCAAGTTCAACTGTACCTAAAGACTGCAAGGGGTGTGTGTGTGTGGGGGGGGGGGACAGACAAGTACTCCTGGGCTTCGCCAAGCGTTTGTGCCTGTGATTGTGGATTTTTGTGGTCCCTGTTCAAACAATGAAAACGTTCTCTCTCCATTGATCAACAGCAGCTATAGGAAGTCTTGCAAGTGTTCCCACCCCCACCCCCCACACTACTTCACTCACCCCCTGTCTCCCTTAGGACAGCCCACACCACATGGCCAAGCAGATCAGAGCCCTGGGAGCTGGACAAAGGGCCTCCGGGTGGCCGGTGTGTGGGAGAGGGACCAGGGGCCATGCCAAACCCCTGATGAAACGTTTGAATCCCGTCATCCACGAGATCACGATTCTACAGGCTTGACGCCTGACAACAAGTAGCCCACAGGTGAGCTCAGAATGTCTTGATGAGGCTAGGAACGAATCTGGGTCACATAGAGGGACATTCAGATATGGTTTTCTCATGCGCCTGCTTACGTAGGGCCTTCGGAGGGGACGAGGCGTGGTGATAATCATATTTGGGCCTGACTCACGCTATCAGGTCGTAGCTAGTCAGCAAACACTTACTGAATGAAAACAACCAGACCAGGACACTTGTGGCTTTGTAGATTCGACTACAGATAACATGATCCTCAGCTTTCATTCATTCATTCAGCAAGTACTTGTTCGGTGTCTACTACGTTTTCTACCCTAGGAATTCCAGACATTCAGTAAGGATTAAGACCTTGCACGTGGCTGACCCTGGTTCAATCCCCTGCACTGCGTATGGTCTCCCGGGGACTGCTAGGAGTGATTCCTGACTATACCCGAGTGTAGTCAGGAGTAAGCCCTGAGCACCCCGGAGTACGGCCCCCAAACTATAACTAAATGAAGTGATGGAGAGCTGAGTTCTGCCTGGTGAAGTTCAAGGAAGCCGTCACAGAGGAGGTGATGATTGGGTTGGGTTGTGAAGAATGACTAGGCGTAAGTCAGATACCAGAGGGGAAGAATACTCCAATCAAGGTCCAAGGGCACAGAGACACCCTGCCTTTCTGAGGAGTACTTTGGGTTTTCAGGAGGTGGGGCAAGTCAAAGCTGAAGAAGGCGGGGAAGTTTGAGGCTAGATCGAAAAGTATCTGCAGGTTCAAGCTAGGTAGTTTGTGCTAGCAGTAGGAATTCACGGAAGCGTCTGAACCAGTGTTCCATTTATTCGGAGGGACAGACGTGGGCATGCATGGTGAACAAGTTTCATTTGGGTGAAGACCCCAACACCCCGCTGTAAGAGAGGCCATGACTGCACCCCAGGAGGCTGCACCCTGTTTCCAGAACACCTTTCTCAGCACTCAGAGGAGACAAAGTTCTCCTCAGTCCCTCCTCCAGTTTCCTGAATCCCAGAGTCAACACCTTCCGCCTACCTTGTGTCTCTATTTACTTATTTATTTATTTTTTCCTTGTGTCTTTATGAGTAGCAGAACCTGAAGGGGTTGCATGGGGCTTGTGACCTGGCAAAGTCAGATGCCAAAGAGTTTCCTCTCCCCACAGTTTAGCCCAAGGAGGCAGAGGCTTCGGACACCAACGTGACCCCAGATCTCCCCTGGCGCCCCATTCCCATCCACGCAGCTGACCTATCCCAAGAGGCTGATGGGTTGGCACCCCTCATTAGGCTACCCCACCCTCACCACGACTCATGTGCACAGCCCTGGCGGCATCAGGTCAAGCCACAAGCAATGTTGCCAAACACCCCGCTGGCTTATGCAAGAGGCTTCCCGAGAAGGGTGGGGCGAACAGAGGTGGAACCTGGGTGGGCCCCGGGTCCGGGAGCTGGCTGCTTTACCGGCTTCCCTGCTGTTCTGACCGCAGCAGCCCCAGGGGGCGGGGGCAGGGCCGGCCCTTTATCAGTCCCCTGCAGGGCTGCACAGGCCACCCCCTGGCTTCCTCTCTCAACAGACGGAAAAGGGAGGCAGCCACAGGGGGGCAAGGGGCGGGCTGGGCGTTATCCTGGGCGGCAGAGCCCGGCGGTTACCACATGGCTTGGGGGGAGGCAGGGAGGAGCCTGGCGCCAGGGAACTGTGAGGCTCCCGGAAACTGCACTGAAGGTGGAGAGCGGGGAAGGGGGGAACTGCTGGAGACCCAGACGGTGGCAGCAAAAACCAAGCCCCTCCCTGGGTCTTCCCGTTCTAGTTTGGGTCAGGGAAGGCGCAGAGGTCTTTGGGAAGGTTCCTTTCCACGGATAAGCGTCCTCGGGGGCTGGAGAGATAGTACCGCCGATAGGGCCCGTGCCTTCCTGGCAGCTGATCTGGGTTCAACTCCCGGTACCCCGTATAGTCCCAGTGTTCACACTGAGCCAGGAGTAAGCCCCAAGCATTGCCAGGTGTGATCTCCAGAAAAAAGAGAAAATAAATAAATAAGTAAATAAAAAGAATTTTTTGGTTTCGAGGCAACACTCTGTGATGTGCTCAGGAATGATCCCTGGCGGTGCTTGGGGGACCATGTGGGCTGCTGGGGACTGAGTCCGGGTCAGCCACACGCCGGGCAAGCAGCATCCTACCCACTGTGCTATGGCTTCATTCAGTCCCTAAATAAAGAAGAATTCTTTTTCCCTTTTTTTTTGATTTTGGGGTCAATTCTGGCAATGTTCAGGGGTTACTTAGTGCTCAGGGGACCATATGGGATGCTGCCAGGGATCCAACCTGTGTGGGCCATGTGCAAGACAAACGTCCGACCCACTGTACTCTCACTCTGGCCCAACAAATACTCTTTTTGTCGATTTTTATACATTTTATTTTCATAAAGTGGTTCACTCAATAAAGAATTCCTAAGGATAGCTATAGGAGTTGTAATGAGCCACTTTCTCCCTTTTTTCCTTCAGTTTTTTTTTTTCCTGGAGGAGGGGTGCCATGCCCGGTGGGGCTCAGAGCTTATTCCTAGCTCTGCACTGTGGGATGACTCCTGGCAGACCATATGGAATGCCGGGGATTGAGGGTGTCAGTGGCATGCAAGGCGAGCACCCTCCCTGCTGTACCTTCGCTCAGACCCCTGCGCTGCACTTGGAGGCTCAGTGGACGTGGCACTCTCAAGGGCGCAGGGAGTCGGGAAGGACTGAGGTTCCCAGACCCAGTCATCTAAACACCGTCACCTGCCTGTGGAGCACAGCCCCGAGCCCGACATGGATGAGCCCAGAATATTCCAGAAGAAAAGAGGAGTAGGTACCTGAGATATATGCTACGTAGAGAGCAGAGTGAGCGGGAGCCGGATCTTAAGTTCTTTTAAAAAATATGTCAGGGCTTGATAGCCCAGTCTGTAGGGCGTTTGCCTTGCACGCGGCCAATGCGGGTTCAATTCCCAGCATCCCATATGGTCCCCTGAGCACCGCCAGGAGTAACTCCTGAGTGCAGAGCCAGGAGGAACCCCTGTGCAACGCCAGGTATGACACAAAAAGAAAAAAAAATATGTCAGGGCTGGAGCGATGGTACAGTGGGTAGGGCGTTTGTCTCGCACATGGCAGACCGGGGTTTGATTCCCAGCATCCCGTAGGTCCCCCGAGCACCGCCAGGAGTCATTCCTGAGTGCATGAACCAGGACTAACCTGTGTGCATCGCCGGGTGTGACCCAAAAAGCCAAAATAAAAATAAAAATTAAAATATGTCAATGAATTGTTGTTTGTTTACTTATTCTTGGTTTGGGGCCACACCCACTAATGTTCAGTGAGGGATTACTCCTGGCTCTGTGCTCG